AATCGAATATTTATTTTTTTTAGTACCAATTAGAAGAATTTATGAGAAATTTCCTGCACATTATAAAGCAAATTTAAAGAAAGAAAAGAAAAATATATAAGAAAGAGGGGGTTGTGTGTGTCTTACCAAATGTTCATGGCTTCCACAGCATAAAAACAATCATTAAGTGCATAGAAAAAGAGAGATAGACAGAAAAAAAGACAGGTTGAGATGTTGTTTTTTCATTGTGTGCGTTGTAATAATTTTTTCTTTCTTTTTTGGGGGGAGGGTGGGACTGTCCACAGAGTATAGATGTCACTTGGGACTCATAAACAAAAGACACTTACTCTGATACAGGTGGGCAGACGTGGGTAGGTCCCTGTGGTTAGAACGTCGATGGCACATGGCAGGGAGAAACTGGGCAGACTGTGGTCGTCAAATGGAAGGGCGGGGGGCAGGTTGAGGAATACAATATAAGGATTGATTGTTATGATTGTAGGAATTTTACACCCCAAACCCCATCAACACAGCTCTTCAACCCTCTCTCTCTTCTGGCGCTGTGGCTTCATAAACGGTCAGCGATGCCGACAGCATGCAGTGGTTACTGAAATGTCCCAGCAGACGAATTCTGGTGGGACATCTCAGGAACACATGGTCTATAGTCTCGTCCTTCTCCTTGCAGGCTCGACAGGATGGAAAGCTTCAACTAAGGCTGTACCCCGGTAGCAAACCCGCTCGCGCTCGCAAGCCCCTAGTTCAAGTCACAAGCCTCAAATCACTAGGTCAAATCATCAAATCAAATCACCAGCATGATAAGTTGAGTCTAGCGCAAACTGCAACCTCCTTGGTCTAGTCTAAACTTCAAGTCCACAGCAACTAGCAATCCGCGAAGCCACTCGTGTCAGGCCCCCTCATCATCCCCACCCTGCTTGCAATCTGCGAAGCCACTTACATCAGAAAAACAGAGAGGGGGAGAGTGAGAGATCTCGCCCACAGAGTCACTGCGCGGCGTGGCGCTGTAGTTTACTCGATCAATCGAAGGCCTGCGCAAGCCTTAAGTCCCGTCCGCAGCCACAAGCCCCACAATTCACACAGTACTGATTTGCGCTAGGCCTAGAGATTTGCCCCAGGACAAGCTCGAAACCTGACCTGCTGACTTGTACTGTCTCGATACACCGAGCGAGCGGCACGCCGCGGTACCGCTCGATGGCGACAAGACCGTTCGATATGTTCAAACAGCAGTACTGTTGGCTGTGTGAACTTTGAACCGTGGAGGAAGGGAGAGGCTGGGCTTGTTTTGGTGCAAGGCGTAGAGAGCTGAAATTATTTTTAACTTCCCGCCGTTGATCAGTAAAGTGAATGGATAAGTGAGAGGGAGCGTGGTATTGTAGTAACAGAAACCTAGGTTTCTGGTAGTAATAAGAATAAGTTGACTTAGATTACCCTATAATGGAAAACTCCAGGGGTCGTTGTGATTGGCTTTTGTATCGTATCAAGTATGTAACCTATTTTGTAGATGTGTTACACTCACAGTGACATACAGAACATTCAGGAGACGGGCTAGGCCTACTTCAACCCAATGTCAGGGCCAACCTGGGCTGAGAGGGAACAATGCCCCAGCAGAAAGACGGAGGTTCTCAGTAAAAATTTCTCCCCATAGGGGAATCGAACTGAGGTCTTTTGTGCGCGACAATGAAGCGCTTGGCTCGTGCACATTAAAAATAAACAGGTCGTAACATCGTAAGAATAGCCGATCCAATATTAATTTTTAAGTGCATTGAATAGAGCTTTTTGTTTTTTACAACCGAACTATGAAAAAAACCCAACCGATCTTGCACTTTTGGTGCAAGCGTCTCAACGCAAATAACCAGAGAATCTTCTGTAATATGTACTGAGCCCACTGCCACGAGAGTTCGCAACGTCACGACACAGTACAACAGGACTGTCCGCGAGTCACAACTCACCGGAAGTTCCCTCCGGTAGCAAGCGGGAGGCAAATCAAATCACAAGCCTGCTCGCAAGCCTCTAGCGCAAGACGTCCGCTGCTTTGCAAGCCCCTTCGATTAACCGAGCCCAGAATCCAGCCCTAGCTTCAACCCTGCTAGCCAGGGCCAATCCAAGCTCAGAGGGATACAATATTTCAGCAAACCAGCGACGAGATTTGTCCGACAAAAAATTCACAAAATTTACAGCCCTGCAGAACTCACAGCAATGGGAGGGATTACGGTATTCTTAAGATTCTCTTTATAAAGGCAAAACAGAATGTCCACATATCTTCCAAAGTAGGGCAAAGTAAAATTTTACGGGAGGTTCAAAAAAAAAAAGAAAGCACAAACAAAACAAGAAAGAAAGGGAGGGGGGAGG